AATACTTCAATCGTATTTGCAAACAATAGTAGAGCTACGTGCAATGCACGCAATCATCAATAACATGCTTGTCATTCTATAACGTAAAGGTTATATTGTAATATGCAGAAAGAAATTAGCAAAGTTTAAAATATATATTCAACAATCGTTTCGAATTAATAGCTCCTCACGTTTTTCTCCACTTTCTTTTTTGTTATACGGATTATTTGTTTAAGAGAATTTTTTGAAATTTTTGAGAAACTATAATTGTTATAAAAAAATATTTACTTAAACATGTTATAAGCTCACATTGATTTTACATTTATCTTGTGTAAAGTGTACAATCAATTGCGCGATGTACTTTGAACATTACGTATAGATTACACATAGTTTCGAGAATATTTAAACTTGCGAAGTAAGAACTTCCTGAACCTAAAAATAGATGCTGCGTAAATTGAAATGAATAATTTAAAGCTTTCGTTTAAATAATTGTCTTTTAAAAAGTAGTAGTTTTTATCTATTCTTACAATTAATAATTATTATTACTTAATTGCTTTATTATTATTAATTATTATTAATTATTATTAATAATTTATTGTTATTAATTATTATTACATAATTGAAATAAATTTTATATTAAAAAAAGATAGATAGTTATATGTAGTTTTGAAAAATTTTCTCATAAAAAATATTTATGTGAAAAAAATATTTGAATAAAATTCTTTTTACTATTGTATTGTGTGTATGTTTTTACTATTGTATTCAACATTTGGATCATAGATTTTAGCAAAGTTTTAAAATGTGCCATTTTGTATGTAATTAATACAATTATATAATTCATGAGTTACATATATTTTTAAATCAATACATAAATACATAAAGATTTTTAAGTAATACATGTATCTAATATAAAATCTAAATTATTATTTTAAGTAATACATGTATCTAATATAAAATCTAAATTATTATTATTATCAAGTTAATAATGCCTAACATACCTACTGCAGATGAATTACCGGTTGTTTTTACCGATTATAAGCAATGTCAATCAATATTAGAAAATATTTAGAAATATAGATATAAAATCTAGATATTTAATTAGATTTATTTAAAAAATAAAATTCAATAGTTCTGATAAATTTTAAAAGAGGATATTTAAACAAGATATTAAAGTATATAAATATATTAATTTTTTATATATTTTGACAATAAATTATTAGCAAGTACACAAAGTACATTAGTAAGACAGAGTTATTTAAAAAATTTTGTTGAAAATCACTTTATCATATTTATAGATTTATTATTACTAATTAAACAATAATAGAATAATATAACTAATTATTACAATTATTATAATAATGATATAATTAATTAATTTATCGTTTTATGAATAGTATATTGGTATTATCTGTAATTTTTGCAATTGCCGGCACTATGTGAAGAATCATGTAGACTTCTCAAAAGCTAGATGGCAGCAGTAACTCGCTTTCCATCATACACTATTTTTTTAAGAAACATTTCATATTACTTTATATATAGTATATTTATTCATAAATTCACTCCAAAATTAATCAAACGCTTATAAGTTTTTATTACAATATCCAAACTACAAATAAAAATATTACGTTACGTTTTTTAGTTACGTTTTTTTATATGTAATATAAAATTTTTAATATAAATAAAAAATTCTTTTAGAAAAAAACGGATAAAATAGAACAGTGTGTTTTATATTACAAATTGATCACTTAGCAAAACTTAATTCTTACGATGAGTGATAAATTTTCGTTCGCACTACAAACTTGTAACAAAATTTTATTAACAATGGTGGAAAAGAGTAGTCGGAAATAAATATTTATTTGTTTGTTAATATATTTGAAAAGACATAATGTGCTTAAAATCAAAAGCGTGCACGCGATTCGATGCTCGAAGAAAGTCCCACGTTCGATCGCAGGAAGTCACGAGTGCACGCATAAGGGGGAAGACATCTTAAAATTCTCAATCGTTATCGAGCCGTTTAGCGTTGGCACGTTACGCGAGTCGCACGTTTACGGTAATTTCAGCGCCGATCTCAACACGCTCCCATCTCATCACGCGCAAACAACAAGGCGGAATTCACGTCGATGGCGCAAAAATTCGCTCACTTACCTGTTATATTCGGTTCACCCACGAGTCGGTATGTCACGAGTCACGATCGCATAATGCGAATAATGTGCATCACCTCGGGCGATTCTCTCTCGCGCATAATGCTGCACTTTGTACGACAGCCCTTTAGTTTATAGGCATTCTCACGCATGTAATGGATCGATACTACGCTACGTGGTTCCACAGGAAGAGAATATTGGAATCTCGGTTTAAACAGAAATTTTGATTCACAATTACTTGGCACTCACTGGACCACTGATAATTGTAATGTTTTCCCAAGTTTCTTCACTGTATCTTTTATAATTTATATTCATTTTATATATATATGTAGTATATGTATATATATGATTTTATATATATATGTAGACCGTATATGATGATCTTGTATTATTAAAATTGTGTAGAAAACAAACTGTATTTGACACAAACACAATGTGAATAATGTTTACGTTAATTCATGGAAGTAATAAATAAACAAATTAAAAGTTTACAAATAAATATGAGCTGAATCTTTTATGCGTTCGTTTTATTAAATTTTTCCGCTTTTCACAGACATATTTTGTTTAATTTTATTAAACCGAGTTAGTCTATTTTATTATGAAGTATCATCAAGTATCATCAATTACGGAATCATCAAAATAATATTTATTAACAGACGAAAGTATGCGAAATAATTATATGCGTAATGGGATGATTTAAGCATCGTGAATCGAGGTGTGATGCCGAGAGGATTGTCTGATGCGTCTCTGTGTAAGCAAGCAGAAAAGAATTCAGGACGCGCGATGACTAATAATATATACCTCGCGCGAGAGGGCATAGAGGAACGAAGAGGAACGAAACACGGCGAGTCGGTCATACCTCTAGTTTCTTGGAACGGCAATTATCGGAGATAGTTTCCTAGGGGATTTTTCGGATCGAGAAGGAGATACAATTCGCATGTGGGTGTCTTTGTCTTCGGCTGGCAACGTCGGATGCGGCGTTCGATTCCCAAAGGCGTGGCCATTGATTTGTCTACATCTCTCGGTCACATACACACACGTACGAGAGAAAAAGTCCCGGATTGATCCTACTTTGAAGTACTCGAATAGCGACACCCACATCCAGCGGCCATTCATCGGCGGATTCTTCATCCCGCCGATCGAAGATCCCACTCTCTATTCGATCTCGCATTTATATAATCATTGTTTAAGTATGTATATATAATAAACGCAGTATACATCATATATGATCTGTCTCTCATATATATATATATATATATATATATATATATATATATATATATATA